GAAAAACTTCGGCACAGATCGCAATCACAGGTAAGGCAAGTTTCAGAAGACGTTCTCAGAAAAGATAGAAATATCAAATCTTGTATCAAGGCAAACGCATAGAAGTGGTGATCGGATATACTATAACGTATTGAAGCTTCGATAAGCTTTAGAAGTATCTATATCAATATTAGGGAACAAGTTGATTTTGTGTATGACCTTTTGTGATATGGCTCGTTGCACAATTATGAATCCTAGGTCAACTCATTTATAAATACATCTCATGAATGTAACCCTCGGTGTGACTACATGTATACCGTGTGTGAGAAAAGTGTATGAGATGGTGAAATGCAGTTATTATGCCATGATTATATATAACACTTAAAAATCAATAAAAAGAATCTCACTAGTTTTCTTGTGGACATAGCTTGATAGAACATCAAGTGAACCACAAAAAACCTTATGTGTTTGTTAGTTTCTTGTATTTCAATTATCGTGTTCATTTATCAAGTGTGCATCTTAATCGGTACCTGGAATCCCTAACATATCATGCTGCCTTTGAGTTATGTTAAAGGTGAAAAGACTTGATTACATCATCGATTCTTAATATTCTATTACTGACATTGCTAAATCACAGTTATATTCTTCTTCTGCATCAGTTATTTAAAGCACATAACATATATAATGATATATATATATATATATATATATATATATATATAATATTCACGCACAAAGTCTTCTCTCCCGAATTCTTCTACCCGATTTGTGTTTTTATTTCATCGTTCATCAAGAAATCTGGTCAAAAAGGCAAATTTAAACCTAATCCTTAATTTGCTCAACAATTAAGCTTAATTTGTTAAATAAAAAGAATATGCATTTATATTGCTCACGATCAATAATAATTGATATTGTGTTTGAATCAATCAAAACTTCAAGCTGAAAAGAAAGGTTTATAATTGGTATGTGGTTCTTTATTTATGTACATTGTTATTATCAAAACAAATGAGATTAATGTGCTGTTTGTTTTTCCGAAGCAAAATTTCAAAAAGTCTGCAGACCATCTCTGCAAACCTCTGCAGCAAAAGAAGTGGACCAAACGACTGCAGACTGTAATAAGAAGCCTATTTGTTTTTGTTAACATCTGCAATTGCTACAGACATTAAAATTTTAAAATAAACTAATTTAGAAAAACAACATTAAAATGAATTAACTTATGTAAATCAAATGAGAGAAAACAGTTAAAGGGATATAAATTTAATGTATTAAATGTTGAAGTGATGAAAATAGAATATAATATATATATAAGTAAAAGACCATAAACGTAATATTAAATATACTTTATGGACACTTATTTAAAAACAACACACATCGTTGTTGTTAGATTTTTGGAAAAAAAAGGCCCATTGTTTTTTGGGATTGGATTTTTTAAGTTTAGGTTTGAAGGGGTGGGAAGGTACAACAAGTGCTTCCCCAAGAAGCACACGGACAAATGTTTTAAGCCCCGAAGATTTTCGAAAAACAAACTATTATGGGAAAAAAAGTGTTGCGTGTGTGCTGTGCCACTCAGCAATAAGATTTTTGAAGAGGTTTTTTTAAGAAAAACAAATAGGACCTGACATTAAGTACATGTTTTTTGTACAAAAAGCACAAATAACCCCTAACCATAACCTAAATAATAATAAACGATACACTATCATTCTCCCTTGGGTCGAAGCAACAAAGGCTGACTACCCCTTAAAATAACACTCCCTCAAACGGGGCATCACAATCATACATACTTATAAAGCTAGCATTTTTTCTTGAATCTCATGCATTTGAAACCCTCTTTTTTAACTTTCTCAAACCACATTCATTTGAAACCCCCTCTTTTTAACTAATGCGACTCAAAAGTTTACTTAATTATGATTTAACACTCAAAAGTTTTATAACTTATATTATGTTCAATTAGTATTTAGTGAAAAGTTTACTATAAAAAGGTCAATCTTTTGTGTCTTTTGTGTTATATAAAATCTTACATGTAAGAAGGATTTAAAGATATTGTGATTCAAAAGTTTTCATATAGTTGAAGCATTCACGATCCAAATATGATGATTTGAAGAAATGGGTTATGTCGCATCGATGGTAATTGTAATATAATTTTTTCTTTCAACCAAAACAAATGAAGCTTTTTTGTTCTTTCTTTATATTTTGTTTCTCATTTAATCTTTATATGTGATTTGTGTATTACTCAATCTTGAATGTGACTCTCCAAACATCAATGGTTTGCTTGGAATATCTTTCTGCTTATTCTTTTTCAAGAAAATATTTTGATTGCAAGTTAGTGAAGAGTTGTCATCAAGTTTCTATGGTTGAATGGTGTTAAATGAAGAAAGAAGATTCATAAAATGGATATAGGTTTTTTTTGTTTGAGCAAAGTTAACGAATGTTAGTTTTTTCTTTTGATTTAACTGTATGTTTATGTAACATCTTTATTTATATATTCAACCACCCAATGCTCTTATTTATTTGATTGTAGTTTTTCAATTTTGATTATGTATATTTTCTATTTTTTTTTTGTTGAGTTATCCTACACAACATATTTAAAAGATAATATTTAAAAGATAACATAATTTTGAACATTTGATATGTAATTATGATAGACTTATCATGATATGTTCTTCATATGAAAGTAATTTATCCATATTACTACGACAAGAATTACATATGACATTTACGAAAATGTATATATTATATGTGATTTGTTTAACATATATATGCACCTATGTATAATTTATAATTAAATATCTTTATGTTTAATAGTTGAAGGGATTAAAATGATGCATCAAAACCAATTATTTAGAAGAATATAATAATATATATATATATATATATATATATATATATATATATATATATATATATATATATATATATTTCCAAGTATCACATTCATTTGAAACTCACACTACAACTCAAGAGTTTTCTAATTTATGTATATTTATTAGTTACAACTCAAGAGTTTTTAATTTATGATTATTAATTATTAATCACTAATAACCTTTTATTTTCTTTTCTTTTATAAGTTTGTAAAGCTTTGTTCATTAAAAACATTAATGTATTTGAAGAGATTTTTGATTTAAATATGAAGAGTTCATATAAATGTTATAATAGATGTTTTAGTGTGTTTATGTTATTAAAAGTTATAGTGTTTATTTTTCATATTTTTACAATTCGTTGTAGATATATCTTTTTTAATATAAATGTTATAATAGATGTTTTTATATTTTTATGTTACTAAAAGTTGCAGTTCATATTTTTATTCATACGTTTTGTTACCCGTTATATTATCATTCATTTGATATACAATTTATACAATTTTAAACGGTTTATAAAATTATCAAATAATTATATATATCACAATTACTTAAAAATTAAACTATAATATTTAATAAAACTAATATGTTAACTATATGTTTGTTTTACTACAAACATTTTGTTTCAAAGTAAAAATATTAAATAATAATTTTGTAAAAATTATTATTTAAACTATATAATTCTATTCTCATGCAACCCGCGGAGATTGGCCTAGTTAAGTATTAAAACAAGCATTTAAGCTTAAAAGCTTAAAATTTGATTTGTCAAAATCATTCTCCCACTTTTAAATTAAGAATTGAAAGTGTGATCCATTTTCATCTTGGGGAGGGAATCTCCATTCAATGCTTCCCCTAATAACACCCCCCCCCCCTCCCTTCATGAGTTCATGGTAGTTTCCAGGCGATGATAGATGCTTGCTACGTAATTATGATTTATACTTTAAAAAAAACATGATTAGGGTCTAGGGACACCTTCCCCTCGAATGGCTAGGAGATATCAAAAGATTATACTTTTATCAATAAGTTGCAAACACATGCAATATAGTGTATAAATAGGCAATCACATGCAATCACACTAATAATTTGATAAAATATAATATTTTTAAGCATTTCATCAAATATACTGATTGAAAGAGAAATCATTCAAGATCTTTCCCGGTTTTTATTGTGCCTTTTGATTCAATTGCCTTAGTATTTTCCAATTTTGGTTTTGAGATATACTTTTACCATTGATTTACGATTTTAACGAGTGATTTTTTTCTAGTTTATTTTAGTTATAACACATGAATCTCACTATGGGTAAAATCAAACCTTATATGTAGGTAGCACTTGAGAACTTACATAAATATACAGATTATTCTAAAGCCATATTTGGATTTAGACTTGAGAGCACCCTTTGGTATAAAGACATGATCATAATCTATTACCTTGTTTAATTTTTATGTTAGATCGTACGTCACTACCCCTAGATGTATGTAGATTAATACGTCGACTCTTTTCAAAATATTAATGAACACCCCTCTCTTACTTACGTACCAAACAAAGTGACTTCCAAATCCTGAACTTCACTTTAAAAAACGGATACATCATACATTATATTAACTTGTAACTATTACTACTTTACATCAAGAATGAAAATTTGTTATTACAAACATATATATATATATATATATATATATATATATATATATATATATATATATATATATATATATATATATATATATATATATATATATATATATATTCGTGCATATCTTAATATAATATTATTAGATCATATATATTAAAAAGTCAAAAGATAACCTTTTTAATAATTATTGATGCGAAATTGAAGCAGAAGTTGACGCCCACACAGACCACTTTCTCTCCCCCACAAACTTCACTAATCACTATTCACTATTCACTGTGCCTGTGCGAAGACCACAATGTGTCCGTTTTCTTGCAATAATCAAACTTCACGAGCACTATCTCCCTAGATTCCTTTCTTTTACTGGATCGAAGAATAATCATCACCCTCGCATTTAATTACATCACCTTTCTCTCATTCTTCACTTTCCCAAATCCCTTAATCGATTAAAGACGACATCAGGATCAAACATCGAGAAAAAACCCCCAAAACCATCGTCTCCAAATGCCCAAATTTGATCCTAACTGTAACTCCTGATGTTGTCATCAATGGAGACCGCGGTTAAACCCTTGAGAAAGAAAACATGGTTTCTCCCTCTGATCTTGTCTCTCCTCACTTCATCAATCCTCGTAATTTTCTCCTTGTTCTTCACTTCAACTTCGAATCCTTTTCATCAAACCCCGTTAAAGTCCAAAACCCAACAAAACCCAGTTTTTGTTGAATCAAAACTGTACATCGCACCCACGAAACCGGTTTCATCCATACCGAAACTTGCGTATTTGATCTCTGGTTCGAGTGGTGATGTTGAGTCGTTGAAAAGGACGCTCAAGGCACTATATCATCCATTGAATCAGTATGTTGTGCATTTGGACCTTGAATCTCCCGCTGAAGAACGATTGGAGCTGGTTGATTTTGTGAACAACGAGGCTGTGTTTCAAGAAGTAGGTAATGTTAGGGTGGTGTCTAGGTCTAATTTGGTAACTTATAGAGGACCTACTATGGTTACAAATACGCTTCATGCTGCTGCGATTTTGTTGAAGGAAGGTGGTGATTGGGATTGGTTCATCAATTTGAGTGCCTCTGATTATCCTTTAGTCACCCAAGATGGTACGTAATCCTCAATTTAACTATCTTTCCCCATTCAGAACTTTCGTCGAACAATTGTCCCGCATGGTATTCTTTTTGGCAAAATATGTACTATTTCCTAACTTCGTCTTGAAAAATGTCAACAAAATCGATGCTTAAAATGGATAAGGATGATTTCTTATGTCTTTTCTGATTCGTGTTGACATGAACCGATTAAGAAAGCCCAACTTTATTGGTTCATCGATCATATATTCAACAAGGAAACATCCATCGTGAAAAATGTGTAGTGATTAGTTAAAATATCCCCCTTTAGGTTCTTTTTTTATCACTCAAGGCTCGTATTGTAATGTTTGACAGATTTGCTTCACACATTGTCAACTGTGCCTAGAGACCTAAACTTTATCGAGCATACAAGTGACATTGGTTGGAAAGAGTACGCACATCTTCTTACCCTTTTTAGTACTACAATTCTTTATGTATTTCCATATAAAAATGCAATTTTTTAGGGTTCTTCATCTTTTCTTTTTTGTTATAGATACCAAAGAGCGAAGCCTGTTATAATTGATCCAGGGCTATATAGTCTTAAAAAATCAGACGTATTTTGGGTCTCCCAAAAAAGAAGTGTTCCTACTGCTTACAAGCTCTTCACAGGTAACTTTTAACACATTTTCTTGAAAATAATCTTGAACATGGTTGTATTTGTGGTCCATTTTAGAAATATAATAAAACAATTGATTTTATTTTTCATAGGTTCAGCATGGATGATGCTTTCAAGACCCTTTATAGAATATTGTTTATGGGGATGGGATAACCTTCCAAGAATCGTCCTTATGTATTATGCAAACTTTCTTTCATCTCCTGAAGGCTATTTCCACACTGTAATTTGCAATGCTGATGAGTTCAAGAACACAACTGTAAATCATGATCTTCATTTCATTTCATGGGATAATCCACCAAAACAACACCCTCATTTTCTCTCCATTGATGATTATCAAAGAATGCTTGAAAGCAATGCCCCTTTTGCAAGAAAATTTGGTGAAGATAAAGAATTGCTTGACAAAATTGACTCTGAACTTCTTGAAAGAGAACCCAATGGTTTTGTCACAAGTAAAATCTCATTCTCTTGAAACTATTTTTCTAAATTCTAATCAAGAAACTCAGTTTTACCAATATATATTTTAAATAATATGCAGGAAGTTGGTTGGAAAGAAGTGATACAAATAGAAGCATAGCTGAAAGCATAGCCAAAAATGCAACTGAACTAAAACCAGGTCCTGGAGCTGAAAGGATTAAGACACTTATAAGTGGTATGCTTTCAGACAAAGATTTTGATGCAAAGCATTGTGTCTGATATAAAAAAAGGTTAAGATTGTATGTATGCAGAGTGCTCTCCAAGGTGAATTCTTCTTGGAATATTTTACTAAAAAGATCTCAGATTTATATATAGATATTAGATATTATTAGCTCAAAACATGCAATAATAATATTCTTGGATTAGATCTAGTTCTTGAAACAGGATCCGAGGTTCACTTCACTCCAACTTCTGTTAATTGACTAAGTGTTAATGCAACTTGAGTGTCATTAGCTTTTCCATGGTTGAGTTTATATTTTTCTATTTTTACCCCTGAGCAAGGTCCGGATTTATTGAAGTGTAAGGTGATGACAAGTTGGCAATGTTGGAAATGTATGTAATTCAAGATAAACTTTCATTATATTAGTAATAGCATCCTGGATTTATAAAGATACATTCCATAATATTTGTGATGAAATCATGAACCCTAAATGGATGAAATCTAGTTCCTTAAACATGGTCCTGGGTGCACTTCAACTTCTGTTCCTTTAGCATTTGTGCAATTAGCAGTCACCGGGTTACCTTGTTGAACAGACACTAAGTTTATAGTATCCATTGTAATCCTTGAGCAAGGTACGGATTTACTACAGTTTAAATTGATAGCAATCTTGGAAGATGATGTGCCATGAAGATTCTTGTAAACCACATCGCTTATTTTGACACCGGTTTCCTTGATCAAACACAAAAATTAGGTTTTTATAATGGCTATGATCATGAATATATGAACTACACTAATTAATGGTTATTACCTCTTCTTTGCATTTGCCACGGACGTCACAGTAATTTTGGTCTATGATGATTGGGTTGTTTACGGCATCAAATTCAAGATTCTCGAAAGTAATATTTCGAACGTTTCCTTGACCTCCTTGCCAAGTCTTGATTCGAGCTCCATTTGAGGTTCCTTTCAATGTGGAGTCGCGTATGTGTATGTGCTCAACATGAACGATTTCTTTGTTCTTTCCTAAGCTCCCGATACTGTAAATAAATGATAGAAAAAGGAGTTGTGGAGTCACAAGCTAACTTGTGGAGTTTGTTACACAGGACAAGACACAAGACAAAGTATATATAATGGACTTGTATTGCGTTTGAGGTGCATTAGATTAGTAGTAAGATAAAAAAGGATTATAAATTTTGCTGTCATTCAAAAACTATATAATATAACTTGCTCTCTAGAGGATGTATATGCCATTTTTTATCATTATATTAGCTCTAGAAAGTTTGTCTAGTCGCATCGAAATCATCTTTTATTCTATCTCATCTAACTAAGACATTCCAGATGTTAATAGGGTTTGGGTTGCTTACCTTATACCATGCCCTGGTCCACAATTGATATTGGCTATATCTATGTTTGATATGTAGTCCCCTATTGAAATGCAGTCATCACCTGTTGGTGACATGGATAAAGTTGTCAATTCACTTGTATCTACACATAGTTTTCTATAAATTTTATGACATTTACAACAAACCTGTTCCAATTATTGAGTTGGTGATTTTGACAAAATGAGAAGAATGGATGTGAATGCCATCAGTATTGGGGCTATGTTCAGGTGATTGGATCGTTACATTATCAACATTAAACCCTTTGGAATTTAGTATGAGTACGTGAGTTTGTGGGCTATTAACCATATAAATGTCTCTTAATGTGCTCTCCTTGCATGATATAAACTTGAAGATCTACACCAATTTTGGCTAACAAATTTGATTAATTGTAATGTACAACAAACATTGGATGAAACATGGTTTGAGTCAAACTTACCGTTGGTGCTAGTTTGGTGCACCCCTCCTAAAAACATGAAAAATGTTAGGTCATGTAGGTTGTGAAAACTTTAGACCAAAAAAACATTGATTTGCAATTAATTAGTTACAAATTAAGATACCAATACTGGATGATATCGACAAGACTGGTCCCACCAACGCATTCCTTGTCCATCTATAAGGCCATATCCATACACATTAAGGCCTACTACATCTTTAAAAGCTATCCATTGACTAGAATCACGACCATTCCATGATTCTGGAGCACCCGGAGCGATAATTTTTCCAAAAATCTGAAAGATGAAGTGATGTATATAGATATTACAATGATTGTTTACTAGAATTTGTTATGAGAATGCCAAATGATTACATGACAATACTATTAGTTAGGCTAGTCACAAAAATGACCCAAACATAAGGTGGCTTTTCTCACCATTTTGCCATCTTTTTTAAATTTGTTTGTGAGGCATTGTAACAAATAGAATCTTTTAAAATCTAACATTTTGTGTGGATGATCCCTCTTAACCAAGTCACCAGAGATAAGTCAATAAAGATAATTTCAATAAGATGATCCCCTCTACTCTTTGCCCATATGAGTCTCTATATCTTAGTCATTTAATGGTTCTTGTCAATTTGCTTCCTAGATTTTGAGGAAAGTTTTAAGTTGGTTGGGGGCCTCATCCCTCCCGGAATTATGAATTTGGATTTGATTTACCATTCTAAGGCTATGTTGGACAAATTAATTGATAGCTGAAAAGAGCTCATAAAATGGTGTTTGATAATACTAGTTGATAAACTAACTGAAATATATAAATTAAAAAAAAAAAAAAAAAAAAATCATATAGAAGTATGAGTTTTTTTTATAATTGTTAAAATGTATCTTTGATAGAAATTTTTAAAAACTTAATAAGTTGGTTGGAACTCTAATCTTAATAGCTTTTTAAAAAGTTGATTTATAAGTTACTTTTTAGTTTGTCGAATATGATAAAAAAAAAGTAATTTAAGAAATAAGTTAGTTGTGGCATGTGAAACATAAGAGTCATAGGAGAAGAAAGTTAGAATGTCTTTGTTTTGACATTCATGATCGTATCTCATTTCTTTTTTCGATGTATTCTCTTTGCGGCTAGCCTCTTGGCTGTCTTTCTAATTAAATTATTGTTCTAGAAAAATCATTGACTGCCTTTTAAAATTTATCACAAAAAATACCTCTAATTTCGTAAATTAAAATTTTTGAAATACTTTTATTTTGAAAAAAATTGTTTTCTGAATGGTCCCCAAGTTTCTCAAATGATGAGTTGTGTGTTGGAGTCAATTAAGGTGTACATGATTTAGTGACAACTTTCTTAACAATGGTTGTTCTTGTCAAAAGCGTTTCAACAATTAAGGAATGTTACCTTCTTTTAACTTTTAAGTGGTTAGAATCATCTTTTAAAAGGTTCAGTTTAGCACCCTTGTAAGAAAAGTAAAGAAGTCTGGATCCAAAAACATTTACTTAGGCATTCGATTCGCTAAGTACAAGAGAAAACGAGGAAAATTTTGTAATCTAACCATAATGTATTGTATATTTAAAGAAAATAATAAAAATAAGTGTTTTTGGTAAAAATAACCACTAAGTTTGGAATAAGGATTGTAGATAGAGAAAAAAAAAATTATGCCATAAAAGCATTTCAGACTAATATTCCAAAGTTCCGACTAGAATTTTGGAGTTCAAAAAAAAAAAACTCCGAATAAGAATAAGTTCGAAATCCAATGAACAATTTCGAAATTTCAAGATTGTTTTTTCTTTTTACTTAAATCTAACCAAAAATTAAACATAGTAAATACAAAGTATATTTGATATTAGCACATGAAATCAAACATTTGATTTAACACTTTAAAATTGAAATTTCAGGCATAAGTAAAGATATTTATTTGGAAAAGACTAAACTGCACAAATGGTCAATGTGGTTTGTCGAAAATTATTACTTTGGTCCAACAATGTTTGGACTAGCACCAGAGATCCAATTTTTTATTTTGTTGCTTGGTCTAATTTGCTATAAAATTTCTTAATGACGAAATTGCCTTTAATATTTTCTTTTTTAGTTTGTTTTTATTATTTAAATATTCTAATTAAAAGAAACATAAAAAGAAATTTTTCCTCGTATATTTTATTTTTATAATTTATTATAACAAAAAATAGAGAGAGAGAGAGAGAGAGAGAGAGAGAGATTGCATTTTCATTTTCTATTTATTTTTTCTGTTATAAAAAATTATAAAAAAAAATATAAAAGAAAATTTTTCTTTTTAATTTTCTTTTAATTAGAAAAATCTTTAAATAATAAAAAAAACAAAAAAAAAATAAGGGCAAATTCATCATTATGAAAAATTTTGTAGCAAATTGGATAAAACTCGCAACAAAATGAAAAGGTTGGACCACTGGTGCTAATACAAACATTTTTGTACAAACCAAATTGATTATTTGTGTAATTTAGTCTTTGGAAAAAACACAAAGAAAGAATCCCAAATTTTGAAGATTGAATTCAAAATGGGAAACGAATAAGTGGTCGTTTTCCAAAAACCGTTTTTTTGGTTATTTTCTTTAATAAATTTCATTTACAGTGATTAGTTTATTCAATTCCAAATTTTTAAACTTTTATTGATTGGAATACTAAAATAATATAAATGTCAGAATATTAGTATCTTATAATTTAAAATTAAAATAAAACTTTTACATTTCATTTAAAAGTTAAAAGATAATATAGGTATTACAAAAATAAAAAAATATAATAAATGTGTTATCATAGATATCTATAAAAATTAAATAAAGTTTTAAACAATATAAACATGACAAAATTAAATAAAAGGTCGATGTGATTTACCAAAAGTCACAAATCTAGTTTTTGTTCATTTTTTTTTACGTACATGGTCCTTTATGATTTCTAAAACTTGCATGAATGGTGTTTTTTGCTAACCTCGTCAGTTTTTCGTCCGTTAGAGTGAGGGTAATCGTGTTTTAGAGACCACTTTAACATACTATTAGGAAAGCAAACAAATTAGATGTACGAGCGGTTAATGAAAATGGCGCGACCTACGAGCGGTTTTTACCAAATTTAATGACATATTTGAAATTCATAATATATATATATATATATATATATATATATATATATATATATATATATATATATATATATATATATATATATATATATACACAAAAGTGGTAGCAATAATTTCAATATTTTATCAACTGTGTGCTACCACTACAAGTTTTCCAACGGGGGTAAAACATTCGACCACCAAAAAGCGTGGAATGTTTGTCGTGCGGGTCCAAAATGAGTCCTTAATCTGAAAGCGATACACTTAGAATCGACCACCAGCTCTGACAAAAGGCCAAGTGGGTTTTTGGCAATGAATATGTAGTAAATATGACATGATGTAGATATGACAACATTTTTTTTTAATGGAGATATAGTAACTATATCTCTTAGCCTAAAAAAAATGAAATTACCTTTACACTAAAGTACAAAAACTAATTGTGTTAGCAAAAATGATAATTCATGCAAGTTTTAGAAATCACAAAGACCATGTTCATCATTTAAATTTAATAAGAACCGAGTTTGTGACATTTAATGGAAAACAAAAACCATTTATATAATTGTATCTATCAAAATCGAAACAACTATCTCATAAAACTAGGGGTGTTTGTTTGGATATATCAGTTTGATCCGATCCGATCTAGTAAACCCAAATAGATTTCGGTTTTCAAAACATAAATCAAAATAGTGCAAATTACATTCAGATATGATCCTACCAACCAAATTACAATTCGGTTGGATCGGTTTTTCACAATTCGATTTTTAAGAGCTAAGACATTTTGAAAATATATATAACTTAAATATTAGCCAACTCTATAAGTAAAAAAAAAAAAAAAAAAAAAAAAAAAAAAAAAAAAAAAAAACTTTTTAGTTATGAATAATAATGTATGAACATTTATTAAGAAAAAAAATATTATAAATTAATATTCCAATGAAAAAAAACTGGTGATAAGAAGTAAATATTAATGTATGATATTGGATAAAAGTTCTTATAACTAAAAAAATAATTTAGTAAATTTATAAATGATTAAAAATAAATATTAAAAATAAATAAAAAGTTGTTCGATTTTTTGGACTATTTGGTTCTTAATTTATAAACTAAAACCAATCCGAAATCAAAATAATGATTCGGTGTAACTTAAAATCAATCCGAAAATCCAAATTAAATAGTCCAATCAAAATTATCAAAGTACACAATTCAATTTTAACCAAATAGTGAACAACCGTATATGCAAACATTTAATTCTATTGTTACACCAACCTTTTTTGATCATGTAGGGATAGCTTTGAAACATCAACTTTTTGAACCTTTTGAAAATAAGAAATTAAATATTTTCTTATATTTTAGTCCTATTATTCTTCTATTCACATTAAATAGTGATAAGTGGATTATAATATTATCAATTTCATTAAATATATCAATAAATATTACACATATCAATATTTATATGATAAGATGATAAATAAAAATAAAATATAAAAAGATATTTATACATTTCAAATGTACATTTAATACTCCTAAACCAAAAGCTTTTTAGTGTTCTAGACAGTTGATTGATTTTAAAGAATAACATCGTGTTTGGTTTTATATAAATAAACTTTATATGAGAGACTTTAATGAATAATTAAATGTGACTATCTTATTTGTTTGTTACCTCGTTATCCCAACCAATACTTTAATATTGGACAGTGATTTGTATACAACTTTTAGTTGTACATAACAATTTATGTTTTAAGCGATTGTAGTGTACAACTGTATAAAACATAATTTATTGTGTATTGTTAAAAAATATTGTGTACGAATCAATTACCTTTTAATATTTGATTTTTTAGATTTAAATTTAAATATTTGGACAAGTCAACTATTTGGTAACTAGCCAAACCGGTGGATCTTAATTTATATGGAAATGTGCAAAAAAAAAAAGGCTATATATATTGAATGTATTGACAAAAAAAAATCATTCTTGAATTTTTTTACATTTTTATTTTTGTATTTTAACTATTAAAATCGGTAAACGTTTGCAAAATAATATTTGTAACCGGTTAATACCAGTTTTAAGGGTAATAAAGAAAAAAAAGTTATGGATGACTTTTTCGTTAATAAAATTAAAGTTTAAAGATTTTTTTGAAATTTTTTTTACATATACTAAATTTATTGGAAGAATAAGTATGTTTATTTATTAAAAAAATGCAACATAAATATAAATTTTTTTATTAAAAAACACATAATGGTAATTTATATATCATTTTTGGAACTTTTTATGATTCTCTTTAATGAATACTACTACTACAATCATAAAGATATCATTTATATCCTACATAAGTTAAGAGAACTTTGTTAATATGTCGCAAGAATTGCATTTCTAACTGCTACTTCATTATTGAATTTTTAGGTTTTGGATGTAAAACGACTACAAATCTACAACTTACTGAAGACCCTTTCACAATCGAAAAACGCCTCGTAAAATACAGGCTTATCAGAGGCTGTTATTTCTAAATAGAGTTCCATTATACACACTATGTGGCCTAGAAACACATTTCTTACGACAAATCAATAAAAGTTTGTTTTTGTGTTCATTAATGGTTCATATTTATCAAAAGAAAATCCATTTTAACCTTTTATGAGGTTTTGCACTATCTTAGTTGGTTACTATTACCATAAAAGTCATCATATTTACACATCTCCACGACCACCCTTTGCCAACACTAACATCATCTTCACCACAAAACATCGGTAGCCCTATCAACACCGTCTCCGACCTACCTTCTGCATTCTTCATCTCCAACCTACCGTCATCACCATCGTCTACCTACTATTCTTTTTCTTTACATCTTGATAAAAAGTTCAAAATGACAAAACTTACCTAAATGTAAGGCATTAATAAACACACAATTGGACTTAGAACATAACTACACATTTCATTTAAATAGGAGGACTTTTATAACAATAACCCTAATATAAGAGCTACAATAATTATAAAAAATATACTAAATACGATTAATAAGACTTTTGTTGATTTGTCGTATTGAGTGTGTTCTAGGCCACACATATATCATGGAGCTCTATATATGAATATTTAGATGATATCTTTATAAGTGTAGTAATGATATTTATTAAAGATATTACAAAAAGAAATCCCAAAATGATATATAAATTATCATTATTGTGTTTTTTAATAAAAAAAATGAGCTTTTTTTTAGTGAAAATGATGTTGATGATGTCTTTATTTTATGTTTTTTAATAAATAGATATAAGTTTTCTTTAAATAAATTTACTATATATAAAAAGAAAATCTCCAAAAAAAAGGCCTTTAACTTTAACATTATTAACTAAAATGTCTTTAACATTACTAACTTTAACATTATTAACTATATATATATATATATATATATATATATATATATATATATATATATATATATATATATATATATATATATATATATAGGGTTAGGTTAATATGTTCTAACTATCTATTATGTACATGTATAATTGATTCTGTACCAATCATTTTTGTTATTTTAAGAAAATAATTAATGCATATTACATGTTAAAGATATAATGAGTATTAATTAAATTTTAAGCATTTAAAATTCATTAAGTACTTTATTAAAATAACAAAAATCTCCAAAATCAATCCTACATACATAATAAATAGGAAACATTATATATATATATATATATATATATATATATATATATATATATATATATATAGAGAGAGAGAGAGAGAGAGAAAGAAAGAAAGAGTTATAATTTAAGCTTTAAACCCGACATTAACCAAGTACAATTGTTTTTTGGCAAACATTCACTGTTTTTAATGGTTAAATTGCGAAATAAATAAAGTTTGACTTTTTTATTAGTAGAACCAAAATATATAGGTTTTTTTTTATAGATCTCCGTAATTTATACAAATAAACTTAAATTTATATTCAAGAGACTTTAACAACGCATTAAATACGCACATGTCATATAGTTTGTTTTTACCTCATTAACCCATCATATAGTTTTTTGTTCTTTAGCTCATTAAACCAACTAAAGTGCTTTAAATATTTGATTTCATATGCATAAAAAACAATTTGTTGTGTAGTTTTAAGTTTCCGACCAAGGTTTTGAAAATCGGATCGGAAATCGAACCAGTCGTCTTACTGGTTCGATGGTTCAAGTGGTCCAACCGCTCGGACCGGTCTCAAAAACCGGAAAAACCGGATGAAATCATATTTATATTTAATTATATAAAAAATACAAAAAATGAAAAAAAAAAATTTAATTTCCGGTTTTGACCGGTTTTCACCGGTTCAAGCAAATACCGGTTTTTTGACCTTTATGAACCGAATCCAGGACCGGTTCCCGTTTGAACCGGTCGAACCGGCTGGTTCGGTCCGGTTTTCAAAACATGGTTTCCGACTAATTTGTTAAAGACAACAAGTCTTTACCGATCACATCTTCATTTCGGAATAAAAATATATATACAAAATAAAAATCAGATATCCTTATATCTTTTGTTCCTATACATCCTCTTATTCATATAATCAAAAAAGATGTTAAAATTCAGAAAAATTATTAAGAGAGAGAATTAATGATGTCAAAATGTCATTATTCTATATGAAAAGGAAAATGAATGGAAACATAATGTATGAAGATATTTAATTTTTCATAAATAAAATAATATAAAGCATAAATAAATGTTACCGCAAAACGAATGCTTTGGGGGTTGCATGGTCCAAGAAACATGAGAGGATTCAACAAGAAAGTCCCTTTAGGAACTATCACCTTTGCATTTTGTGTTCTTGCATTACATGCATCTCTCCATGCATTCACAAATGCCTTAGAATCATCAACTTCTCCAAAACCACTGGCTCCATAATTAAAGATGTTGAATTCATCAATAGGCCAACCAACGATACCACTAACTAAACCAAGAAGCAACATCAATGGAAACATATTTTTCTTCATTATAACATAAGAGAAAGAGAGAATTTCGTACGAAAAACTATATTATAGAGGTGAATATGTGCTAGAAAGACGGTGTAAATGCTTAAGTTAACATGTATTAAATATATGAGGAGTTTTAGTAGAATATAACAAACAACAAGTACATTGGTAATGTTGTAGCATCCCATAAAATTTCAACAATTTTAAACTTTTCAAAATGATCCTTTTACTAATAAAATGTTCACAAAATGGTGTTCTCAAAACATTAAATGAAAATCAGTGCCTCCCAAGATCAATGACATGTAATCAGGATGTGTACGGTCACGCCTTCACCTTGCCACAAATATCTAAAATACCTGAAACCATAAACCCAAAAACTGTAAACACAAAGCTTAGTGAGTTCCCCCAAAGTACTAACACATGACAGATAATATAAACAACAAACAACATGCATACAGGGCCTTCAGCATGACTGGAATGCCCTACCGGCCTACAGTCCATTTGGTACGCCCACAGAGTCTTCAGTTTGACTAGAACGCCCCACCAGCCTACAGTCTATCTTGTACGTTCACAAAACCTTCAACATAACTAGTATGCCTCACCATGCCTTTAGCATATCTGGAACGTTCTCTGGTTCTTCGGCCTGACTAGGATGGCCTACTGGCCTTCAGTCTATCCGGGACGCCCTGGGTCTGTTGGCCTTCAGCACTAAGCAGGACCGCCTCAACCCAACCATACACCCAAACCATGTCGACATATACATAACAGATAAGAATACATATAACATAATGATATAAATATTACTGGGTTTGTTGACTGGCAGCACAAAGTAGTACAGTCTCAACCCAACCACACTACATCAACACATGCGACCAGTAAACATATAGCCAGAATAGATAACAGGAGGATCTAAAAGATCACTAAGCATAACATCATCCTATCTACTAAGATACAGATCTAACAGATCACCACAATACTTAGTCATATGATAAACCAGGATAACAATCTAAAGGGTCGACATTGGTGCTTTTAACCCATAAGTACAATTAGAAAGACTCACTTCGTATTGCCGAATCATACAGATAATCCCTAGCTGTTGGTTGACAGATTTCCAAATCGCCAACATCAAGACAACTGATCCCATGAATAATGTTTGACTCCAGATCTGCTAAAATCCACACGCTATCAAATACCACAAAGACAACCCATCAAATTCTAGCCCCTGACTCACACTATGAGTCCAAATTAGGGTAAAAGACCTTTTTTACCCTTCCATAAGGTTGGCCCAAAGCCAAGACCCAAACTAGATGACTAAAGGCCAAAAATCCAAAAAAAAAACATCAAAGGCCTAAATATGGCACAATTTTCCAAATTGGGTCCAATTTCTTTCGTGGACTGTAACGATGAGATTTTCAAAACAAAATTTTCATTTTTCAACAACCAAATTTTAAATATAAAACATTCTCAAAAAAAGTATTCCACAATAGTTTTCCAATCAAACATATCCCAAGATCACAAATCAAATCTCCTCTCTGTGTGTACGGTTCATGTTGGCGCCTTCCCACGGTCCTTGCTAGTACCTAAAACACATAACACAACAACTGTAAGTATAAATGCTTAGTGAGTTCCCCAATATACCACATACAACACATACGCCATTCGAGGCTACCGTATGACCCTCTATCCGATGTGTCTCAGCGGGACCCTCCGGTCCCGTATCTCGTTGGACCCTCTGGTCCGGTCATAGCTCGTTGGGCCCTTTGGCCCGGTCTGAATCGTTGGACCCTCCGGTTCGGTCTATACAGTTATATATATCGTACTCACATCACATAGCACATAATCTCATACATGACACATAATCTCATACATGGAACATAATCTCATACATAGCACATAAGACCTTCCGTTCAACTCATAATACCACTCTAGGTAACGTATAGTGAGAAGACTCACCTTGTGTAACTCGGTAACTCGGAAATCTCAGACTCCGCGAAATAGGATCTAGCTTCCGCCTAATCATACGAAAATAAACACTCGACATCAACACATTTCCTAAGGCTAGACCATTCTTTCTCTTAGCACTATCAGGAGGGTAAAAGACCATTTTACCCCTCTCAAGGCTCAAATACTCTAAAGTTGAACAAACCCTAAAATTCAACGCTCAACCCTTTGACCAGACTTGCCGAGTGCACAATTGTGACTCGGCGAGTTCAGTCATGAACTCACGTCCTCAAAATCCTCAATGACTCACTGAGGAACTTCCCCAACTCAGCGAGTTACCATCTGCGTGATTTATGGGGGGAAAAACCATCCTACTCGCCGAGTCTGTTCTTGGACTCGGCGAGTTCAATCCATGCTCAAACTCAAATGACCTTCTGATGTCAGATCCGTTCCTCTAACCCATAGATCTGGACTCCTTAAGCAAAATAAACACATAAAGTTTGGATCTTGATGCCCATGCAAAGACCTAATGGCTCTATTTGAAAAAATGACCCCGATATGCCATCCCAAACTCTTATCTCCCAATGACACTCATAAAATCGAGGAGTTAAGGTCAATGGACCACTTTAGATCCAAATCCAAAGTCTCAACACAAGAAGGGACCAATTGCACCACAATCCATACTCTAAAGGGGCTAGAAACCCTAACTCTCAAGGATTAACACCAATTTGAAGGAGGATCGAAAATATATACCTCAGAACAAAGTCCCTAGCCTCTGAAATCCATAGAATATCGCCCTCTTCAGTTCCCTCTTGCCTTGGCCACCTTCTTCTTGCAAAAACACCCACACAAAGATCAAAAATGACCTCTTCTTCCTCACAAACGTTGTGGATCTCTTAGGGTTCCTCTCAGGGGTCTGGTAGCCGCAAATGGTGGCTATAATCCCCCTTTAAATAGGTCCCAAACCCCGGGGATTATGGTTTCATTAAACAACATGGACTCGCCAAGTCCACGAATGGACTCGCCGATTCCGCCATTAAATTAGTGTGACCATCCGCGATCCTACTCGGTGAGTCTGAGCGCCTACTCGCCGAGTCTCTCTCCAAAAACTCAATACAAATGCATAAAATAAGATACATGGGAGTTCGAATGTTACAATTTGTCACACCCCAAAACCGGAACGGCGGAAACGTTCTGGGGTGGATGACGTCATGTCAAGTATCACAACACATGCATTATAGTAATCAAAGTACAACAAAACATTGCATTAATGGTAATAGTTTTACAAGGTTACATTACAACAATTTAAACTATGCAAGTAAATATAATAAATACAGCAAGGTACTAAGCCATCTTCATCAACAGCTATGGGGGTGTACCTGTCTAATTGCTGACCTGAGAATACAAGTTATTTGAAAAGCGAGTATCAGCATTTTTACAAATGCTGGTGAGTTCATAAGTATTTAGTGTCATTTAGTCAAATAACTTTATAAAGTAGTAGTTTAAGTGTTTTCTGTGTATTAGTGTTCTTTCCAGAAGATCCTATATTTTCTTTAATAAAAGCATCCTTCTACCAAGACTGGTCAGTGTAATGTGGTAAAAATAAGTTTCCCTTAATTTCTATTATTATCAAAATACTGAATTTGATTATTAAAGAAAGCAAGAGACATCAGGGAATAACATATGCCTCAACAGTGAGGACTGCTGACTAAGGCAAAAGAATCATAGACTCCAGGAGAGTATCGAACTAACGACAAGCCTAGTTCAGTCTAACAAATAGAGACACAGACCCCAGAAGGTACCAAATGAAAGGTACAGCTAGTAAGGTCTAAAACAGTGAACGCAGACCGAAGACGATACCAAATGAATGGTACATCTTGCAAGGTCAAAACAAAGACTACCGACCACAGACAGTATCAAATGAAAGACACATCTAGCAAGGTCAAAACAGTGAAGACAGACCGCAGATGATACCAAATGAAAAGTACATCTCGCAAGGTCAAAACAGTGTGACTCTGAAAAAGGTGACATCAACATACAGTGTAAATCGCTGACGAAATACCATTACCTTAAAGCCATGAATTATAAGGCAACTCAGGATACTCGTAACCATACTGACTAGAGTTCCAGACGCCCTACAAGCATCTATATAATGTGACTTTTGTCACCCCTTGGCTTGGTAGGCCGTGGACTGTAGCTAGCAGTCAGGGTGCGGGGTTTTCAATCTCGTATAGGCCTATACATACAATGTCCGCTCTCCTTACAGGAGACTCTGGTTACCAACTAGACGACGGAGAAGGCCGCGTCCCTAAGATGCATCCCAAATAGAGGATAGTGTATTACTAGGAGGGAGTGGGTTTCTAATGTAAGTATAGACTAGAGGTAGAGACTCTTAACTGAACTGACTAGAGGATTTCCTGTATGTCCATAATCATATACATAGTGTATAACTAATGAACCAAACGACCTTCGGACGGCCACCCAATCCCACCAGACCACATCTCAACGAAGAAAAGGAAATAGGGCGGATGAGCCTTCCTAAGTCTTTCAATCATTACTTATGTGTATCTATATAAGCACAGACGTACATCTAACTACGACTGAGTGTGTAATAATTGAAGACATATCATCGTGGTGTGAATTCATACAGTGTGGAATAATAGAATCGGAAAGTATAAGTGTATCATGTATAAGTGATTCTTGTGAAGTAGGAGTGTCTAACGAGTGAAGTAGGAGCGGTCGCAAGTGAAGTAGAAGTGTCGAACAAGTATAAGCGTATCACGAAGTAGAGGCGACAATAAGTGAAGTAAAAGTGTATCAAGTATAAGTGAAGTAGAGTCGTTATCAAGTATAAGTGAAGAAGAAATCGTATCACTATGTAAGAGCATGAATAAGTATAAGCGTCATTAGGTATACGCGACTACAAATATAAGTGAAAGCGTTACCGAGTAGGAGTATAAAATAAGTATAAGCGAAGCGGCAGTATTTAACAAGTGAAAGTATACATCTAATAGGGAAATCTTTAAATGAAAAGCCTTCATGTACAGACAAAATCCCAAATTGTATTC